TCTGTCTGTCAATCCGTTCTTTCGGTCCTCTTTGAAAATGCCACTAACCTGTATCAAAACACAGCCAGAGGTATACTACAAATACTGTATTTTATATAATACTTGGACTATATGATACACATACATGCAACCTTCAGTTAACATATACTCTTTCATATTTTGTAATATCTCTTCAGTATTTTCAGGATATTTTATTACTATTTATTCTCAAATTAGAACACTAAGCTATTCAGTAAAACTGAATTTAATTGTTCATTTGATACATTTTCAATGATAGTTTGCATGAGTCTTTTTTCCCCTAACAGTTTCTTAATAAGTGATTAAAAGAATAAGGCCACACTGAACTAGCTTTCTGCACACATAATTTCTTGAGTGGCACAAAATTATGTCAGAAGCAAGATAAATACCCTCAAAATGAACAAAAAAATTAAAGCCCTCCAGGACTGTGGTAGTACAGAAAAGAGATGTTATTGAGTTGGGGAGAAAGTATGAAATATTGAAAAAAGCAATCAATGATACTAACATACATATGAGGATGTAACTTTTGACAGTGTTTCTCCAGTATCTCTGCAAAAATGTGAATTTTTCTACTTGATGTACCTCCTTTTTCTGCTTTTAAAAGAGCAAGAACCAAAGTAGTATTTTAAGAGCATTTAGTTGATGCAGAAATATTTTTTATATCTTTGATGTAGAAACCTATTTTAGTGTTTGCTTGAGACAGAAAAAAGAAGCTTTAAACAGTCTATCAAATATAATGAAGGACTTAAATGCAAAGTCAGTTTTTTTAATATCTTCAGAGAGTGAGAAAGAGTGCTTTGAAGCTTTCACTTTATATAGGTGGAAAACAACTTTGACTGTCAATTGTGTTAATGGAGAGACAATTTATAATTGTTCTCAGCCCTGCCAAAGCGTTCTGTTTTTTGTTTTTGAGATTTTTCAAAGATACAAGAACCATCATGTTTCTTGCACATACGTAATTAATTTTTAAGAGCAAGTTTAATTAACTGGTTTTATTGAAGTCAAAATTTTAAGTGAAAAAATCTGTGCGGTATTTGTACTCGAGCTTCAATCTCACACAGTTAACAATTAGGGTCACTGCTAATTACAATTACTTGAAACCTAAAACTTATTTTAGAAAACATGCCCTGAACATAGTGGGAGTTACCGAAGAGTCATTGTTGAATAAAACCTAAAAATGCAGTCCCTTTCTTTCATGGCATGCCATGGATCTGCAAAACAGTGTCTAAGAGTACAGGAAGGTGATTTCACTGCCCAAAGATACTCACAATCTTAAGGAGGGAAGGCAAACAAAACTGGAGAGGATTTTAACGTCTCTCAGAGAATGGGTAATTGAAAGCTGGAGCCTTTGCTGCTTCCTTATTTGTTTAAAATATAACAATTAGGAAATGGGTTATCCCAGAAGAAGGTACAAAGATGAGAACATGACAAGAAAAAGATAGGAACGTCTAAGGCAGGGTCCTGGATAACGCTAGAGTGCAGTGCTGCAGGGTAACACCGCAGGATGGGTATGATAAAAATATCATTGAAGCATGAGCATAAGCAGAGCTACACAGCACAAGGAAAGTAAAACATCAATTCTGACTACCAAAGACAGGTCTTAGACAAATTGTCTTTTAAACAAAATAAAGAAAACAAAAAAAAAAAAACAAAAAAAAAAAAAAAAAGAAAAAAAAAAAAAAAAAACAAAAAAAAAAAAAAAAAGGAAAAGAAGAAAAGAAGCTCAGCACGCTTAAACATCACATACTTCCAGGGACAGATTCCCTAAAGCATACCAAACAATAATCAAGTAAGAATAAAGTCATCTGCTACATATACACTACATGGAGAAAATTGAGTAGAGTGAAAAACAGGACCAGCCGTACGACTTCATGAATCCAAATTACAAAGGTAAAACTCAAATGGGATGACTTTCTCCAAAGTCACAAATCTAGCAAACTTTTCAAACGACTGAAATAGCTGTCAGCACAGCTGCAGCTTTACTGAGGCAGACACAAAAAAACCCCTGATATGGCAAAATGAGTTACACTCCTGATGAACAATTCCAACTGACAGGATATCAGGATGGACGGTATGAAAACTGCATTTTGTGCCTTACTCTCAAATTTAACACAAATTTCGTGAGAGGAAGGCACACAACACACATTTTTTTAAATTTAATTTTGTTAAATTTTAAGAAATCTCTCCAATGACATGCTTTATACATAACACATAAGCAATAAGTTCTTCCATGTCTTGTATCTGCTTTGTGGTACCTACTTCGTTAATTACTACTTGTCAAAATTCATTACTTTTTTCTAATAATTCTAACCACACTCGTGACAAAATTTTAAATATATCTCTTGCACAGCACTCCGTAGCATCGACGGGAATGCAGTAGATGTTGTTAAGCTTGAGTTTAGCAAGACTTTCAACACCGTCTCCTATAACGTTCTCATAAACAATCCCATGAAGTATAGACTGTGCAAGCAGACAGCACAGCGGACTGAAAGTTGGCCGAGTTGCAGGTATCAGAGGTTCGCAACCACTCGCATGAAATCTAACTGGAGACCAGTCACTAGTCATGCACTCCAGGGTTCGATACTGGGGCCAACACTGTTTAACATCTCCATTAATGACCTGGAGGGTAGGACTGAGTGCACTCTCAGCAAGTCTGCACTTGAAGAAAAGCAAAAAAAACCCATACTATATGTTTGAGAGTATACAGAACCTATCTGTTAAAATGGCATGTTTAAAAGGCGTAGCAGTGAATATTACTTTTATTTGAAGTATTACAAAATCACTTGCAGCTATTTCTGCAAATGTATCTGGAAACAAAAAGATTTAAACATCAGGAAAGATCTGCAGTATTACTGCTACTGCCCATAAATCACAAAAGTGGATACCCTGTTTTTCCACCATTTCTACCTAATGCAAGATCTACACAATTGTCTTGTTAAAAGAAGAAAGTGGTGCATGTATCCAGGCTACTACACTGTCTGTATCACAAAACATTACCTATAACCCTATCAAGTTAATACAGCCTGCACTTATACCAGTTACATAGAAAGACTGCTAACAGAGATTTACACATGCTGCCTCAGGGGACTTCACTGTAAAGGGAATTCTGCATTTTGCTTTAAGAAGCACTAAATACTCAGCAAAAAGTGACAGGAAAATGTGAGAATGAGAAGACTGAAAAACTGCCAACATAACTCTCAGGAATATGTAACCGTCCGCTGGACAAAAATGAAGGATATCTGTGTTACAGGCAGTTAACAATGCAACATACCAATAACAGAGGTACAGAAAATCGTATGTATTGTGTATATGAAACCAACACAGCACAATCCATAAATCTGTACACTTAAGTACAGATTTTCTATTATTCAAAAGCAAAATTAAACTAGCAGCTAGGAGCTATGATCATGAGTACGTATCTTCACAGTTCATAACCAATGGGGAAAGCTGAAATAGATGATTAAATCTCTCTCATATGTTTCACTGAAAACAACTCTATCTCAGCAGAAGAACTTGGAGGCCTCCAAAATGACAGAGAAATAATTTAGGATTTTGAAACACTTTCTTACAGGAAAATCTATTTCATTTGTGGTCCACTAGCATTTTTATAGTCTTTCTCCCCTAAAATCCTTCATTTTCGCATTGCTTTCATTGACTGTTGAAAGACCATTAAAACATACCTCTTGTTCACTGTACTTCCCTCACATAAATAAAATTCTGTACCTGAAGACCGTCTTGAACTATTAGTCAGTTCTGGAAACAACTATGCTGGGAGTGCACATGAACAGTTATAACATATATCTATGTTTGTTCATGTCATTTAAGAAGTCTCCATCAACACATTTATCTGTGCTTCTGCATAAAGTAAAATTCAAGACAATAAAATGCACTGGTTCGAGCAATACGAAGCATAGCCATTTAAAGCTACTTAAAGCATATGTTAATGTTCTTTAAAGCGTTAGTCCACTTATTTTAAATAATCGCAGCATGTAAGACAGCATATGCATTCTACTGTTTCTGTAAGATTTATACACCCTGGAAACAACAAACATCAGCTGTGCGATAGATGAATATTATGGCTTTAAGCCCTTGTTAAGGCAGAAAAACGGAAATATAGAAGCTAACTGGTGTATGGCCATTTGCATTGTGAATTAGTGACTAAGAGTGATTCTGAGACTAGTGGTCAATCTTTTCGACTATGCTCAGGACTCTCGGAGATAATTCTAAATAATTATAGAGACTATTCCTATGTTTGCTATCTACATTTCAAACCCCTGTTACCTATTTGTAGTTTATCATATATTCCACCCTCCCCCGGACTTCTTTTTACTCTTCTCAAGAATACAAACAAAACCACTTTGAAACTCAGGTTCCAATTTTCTGTCTTTTTTTATAGGTGCCCCCAAAAGACAAAAAGGCATGAAATTATCGATTTTAGCAATGCAACAGATACTATTATCAAAGTTCCACAAAAATGCATAATTTCATTGCTTACCTTTTTCTCAAAATTTTTGAATACAAAATGCCTTTGGAAACAAACGCCTAAAAATAGGTGAACATAACTGCAAATGGACTACCAAGCACTACAGTTCTTAAGTAAACTGCTTTTCTTATTACTGTTTTCTTATATCAATACATATGCTTTTAAAATTTTAATTTTATTGTTTTTCAGTGTCTAAGATACTTTAATAAGTACTAAATATTATCAAAATATTAAAACAAGGGAAGCTGGCAATCTCATATTGTTCTAGGAATTTACAGCACTAATAATTAAGTGGACAGCTTAAATTAAAAAAGCATTACAAAGGAATATATATCAGTACTGGACTGTATCACACTGCACTTTATAAACAATATCACACATAACAACCAGGACACTCCCTGAAAAAGCTGTACAGCAAAATTTATAAAGGCAGAAAAAAATCCTCATGGAAGCTGTTACCCACTCCCTACAGAGGGAAGAAATGAAGAAAGAAACTTACCACTTGTAGTAGTGAAAGAATACAGAGGATTCAATGGAGTGCTCAGAGTGCCTGGCAGTCTTAGCTTGGAGTGCGGTGACAGTGATGATGGTGCAGGAAGCAAGAGATTTGAGCTCGCCTGTAATAGGAAAGACAAATCAGAAAATGAAGTGTAATTTCCTGGGTTACTTACTGATGCAACAGCTAGAAGAGAAATATTTGCTTACTGTAAATAACTACTAAATTCCAGGAAAAAAAAAAAGACTCAAGTTGATGATAAATAACAATTTCAACGGATGGGGTTTGGGTTTTTTTTTTTTTAAGAATATTTGGAGACACAGACTTGGAAAAATTATTGACACCACTATAAACTGAATTGCATGTTTAGATATGGACACAAACTCTCAGGCAGCGCAAACAATGAAACAGAACCATTAGAACTGTCATCTCTTTGCATCTTCATGTATAAAAATGACATCTATATATCGTTATAAACTGATAAATGTAAAATAACTTCTCATTTTTGAGTATTCAAACTATACTACATCTATGAAGAGATCACTCAATATTAGAATGAAAGAAAAAAAAAAACCAGTCCTAACACACCTAGCACAAAACTGATTTCTGTAAATCAGTAAAGCATACTCAGACCAAAACATCAGACACTTCCTTCACATAAGGTACAGAAAAAATATCTGCAATCCTAATTTCCACAGCATCAAAGACAACATAGTTAAAATTCTATTGGTTATGGAGTTTCTTGATATACATGCAGCTATCACAAAGTAAAAACCTTTCCCAAACTTTACTCTTGACATAACATCCCACAGAGCCTATGTAAAAATATATTATGACTATCTTAGGTTTTTACGTGATCCGGTTGAGAATTTTACTGTTTGTTAAACGTATTTTCACTGGCTACCCTGATAACACAGCCAAAGGGGTGGGGGGGCATAGGTCTTAAACAAAATATTTGTAACTTTCTTCAAAGAAAATAGATTCATATGCCAGAATTTTTAAGCGTTATTTACATAAACCAATGTAATTCTTGACTCTTTCAAAAGTCAAGCCTATTCCACAACCTAGAATAAATGCATACAGTCACTTAATCCAACTGAAATCCCACACTCAGTGAGGTACTTCTTTGGCCTCAAACTCTAGATCAGACCCTTAAACCTTAGTTGTGGGCCAAAACAGAACAGTGACATTTTGCAAATTTACAATCTATTAGCTTCTAAATTCTGTGTAAAGAAAGGAGAAAGCTAAAACAAAGTGAATCAGTGGCTTATTTCCAGAAAGAATATAATTTATAACTACTACTTTTGTCACTTAATACATATTAAACAATTCAACAGGTTTCAATAACGCAAAATATTTGGGCATTGGCAGGTGTACTGGGATGCACATGGTATAGCACTAAAAACGTGTGTTGAGTAACCTGACTGGGCCATGGAGGATATCTGCTATCATTTCCTCTGCATTACTACACTAGACCTTCATCTTAATGTATCTCGTTTTTGTGTAGCAACATTCATTTAATTCTACTGAAAGAAGTTTATTATAAAAACTGTCTTTTATTAGTCAAGTACTCTCTCAGCAACTGTGCACAACTGTAATGGCTATTACTCCAAAAGCGACCAGGAAGAAAAGCAAGACAGAAAATCAGATCAACCATTGAACATGATTTTAAAAAGCATTAAATCAGCTAGATTTTACTGCAGTGTACAAATTTAACAGAATGTTAGTAAATAGTAGTTGTGAAATGCAAGCAGAATAGAGAGGCTTGTTTTTCTGAACAACAACAAAATCAGTCTGGTTTTCTGACATTTTTACATATGCAAGCCACTAAGTTTCACTAATATAAAGTTTTCTCTGATACACGCAAATATGGTGGAAAGCCATTAGCTTATGTGTTTACTCAAACGCATAAAAATAATTTGTTCTGCGAAGGCATCGAACTCAGCTTCCCAGTATTTCATCTTCTTTTATCCACTGTTACCTCTAGTGAGAGCCTTTCTGCAATAAGACAAATGAGAAGATCTTCTCCCTGCACTAATTTCTTGCTAAGTGCACACTACACCATCAGTGATACAAACATATGTTTTCCAGTCGAGTATTCTCCCTTTTTGGAATTCTCTTTCAAATTTTCTATCAAAAAGTTGGTTTCAGACACTAGCAGAGAATGAAGGCAAGTTGAATACAGCAGCCTTTGGAAATCCAATTAAACACAGCAGAGCAAACTATTCAAAACTAGCACTTAACAGACACTTTTCTGGTTCACCCTGGAGCGAAAAAAAAACTATAAGGAGAAACTTGCCTTGATTGTTGTCCTTGAATGAATTAAAGAAGAGATATGGAACTCTGCATGTAAGTTCTTCCTGTACAGCATTTAATTCCCTTCCTTCTCTGTATTCTCCTGCTGTATTACCCAAATACTCTCATTATACACATGCCAAATAGCATGCTTTGAAATCAAATGCAATCAACACGTACATTAGAAGATAGAATGTATGCTCCTGAAGATTTAAGAAATTTGGCCTTTTTAAAATGCAAAATAAGTTCTTACAATTCTTCCTTCCTCTCCAAGTCCTTAAAAACAAGAAAAAGACATTTTTATAAAAGAAAGAAAGTTTTAAATTTAAGCAGTCTTACAGGAGCGATTCCTTTCTCCCCTTAATGGCAGGGAAGCCCATCAAAGGTGAGCTAGAAAAGACTGCCCATCCAAAGTCAACACAAAACCAGAGTTTTTACGACCTTTCTGCCACTAGCTTTTAAATATTATTTAAATCTCTAAAAGGCCCAAAGAGGAAAAAACCCTCACAACATTATAACAGAAGAAGGAACCACTCAGCTAATAAGTGAGGACTAACGGTTCACAGCAGAACTGTTTTCAGGTGAAGTACACTGTCGTATGAAGAATAATTAATTCTCCTACAACAGACAGACATAGACTGCCTACAGAACAGAGTGAGGCAATCTTTTTTTTTCTTGAAATGCATGCTGTGGGAAGGCATTGCTAAATGCCTTTACAACGACGAGCAAAGTTGGCTAAGGTAGCCAACCATCAATCTACTTCTTTTTCACAACAGGCCCTGCTTGCTTCATGCACAAACCACAGCTTTATCAAAGACACAGTTTACTACTACCCTGGCTTGAGTAAAACCAAGTGTTATAACATTCATGCAGTTTTTGAAGCAAAACCAAGATACCTACATAATTTTTGCCAAGTTTAAACAAAGCTGATTTTCATTTTCTTTTTTGTGTTAGGGTAGCTGTATGCAAATTATGCAAATATACATTTTCAGCAAAACTAGTATTCACATTAAAAGTAAATTGTATGAACAAAACACCCAGAATAATGCAAGACTTCACAAGCTGACAATAACAATTTCTCTTTTTTCCTGACAATGCAATTTTATGACCTTTACAACGAATGTAATCGACATTTCCATATATACTTGCAAGTCAAATCAAGGTGGCCAGCTCTATATTACTTCTTACTGTTTTAGTTTTAGGTTTCTTGTTTGAAATTTTAGGCCTCTAGGACACTGTTTTTTAAGACAGTTTAAAAACATTATTAAACCACTTTTCTGCAGAGTTTAAAAGTTGACAATTGAAGTTGAAATAAAAACCAAACACAAATTCTGCTATTTTTCTCAATGCTAGAAGAAAATACATAGGCAATAATTCTTACAGTAGGAGTACAGTACTACAGCTTTTAAATTTGTAATGCAAGTTTGAATCAATCTTACATCTACGTAAAAATGCAATGATTTCTATGACAGTAGTGCTAGGCAGACTCCAACAAAGGCTGGGATTCTGTTGCAGTAGGTATACTGCAATCACTTAAGAGACTAATCTGTTCTGCTTTTAAGTAACTTCTAGACTAAACAAGAAAATCAAAGACCGCTAAAATAAGGTATCACCCTGTTACACAGAGGCAAAACTGAAACATAGATACTGCTTGTCTGAAGCAAGTGTGTTCCCTTGATGGTCCCTACAGTCCTCTGATTATCCAGATCAGGAACTGACCTACATGGCAGCAGAGTTCCCTCTTAACTTGGGTGCTCCATTTTTTTTCTCCATAGAAGGCCAGAAGTGACCAGGGCATATGTATGAAAACTGAAGCTAGAAAGTGCTTGATCCTACAGTTTACATATAGTCATTGTCTACAGATGATATGGCTCATGACACAGTAATTATACATATCCAGTTTCTTAGTTCTGCCAGAGAGTTCCGGCATTTCAATCACAAGCTTAGCATAAAACCTTTCTTTTTTTCTTTTTTTTTTTTTTTCAAATATTGTGAAGAAGAAATTAAGATCACTATATACATTCGGAATAAGAAACTCCTTCCTTTTAGTCACAAGGAAAACCAAATTCTTTGTACAAGACACAAACCAGTTAAATACAGGCTCAGTTACATGCAGGCTGTGTAGACTCACTCAGCCATTAAACACGGAGAGTATGACCTCTCCTGTATTGGACAAAACTGGCATTTCACCTTAAGAACATACCTGGATATACACATTTTAGCAGAACTGGCCAATGTCATAAACAATAACAGTAAAAAGTAGATATGCAAGAGTCAAGTAGATTACTATGTAAACTGTGACCTCTTCTGCAGCTGGTTATGATTCTTGATATCAAAGAACATATGACCAGGAAAAAAAAAAATAATCCATGACTTTAGTAGTTAAATTTTAAAAATGTCTTTTTTTTGTTCAAATGAAAAATCGATGTAACGCATATCACATACAAAACGTACCCAAAGATACTTGTCCTACGATTTTATTTCTCTTCCTACTAAAGACAGACACCAGAAATTCTTCTGACTCACAGCTTGTCAAATACATATAGAAATCTATTCCTCTGTACCTCCTGGTAAAAGACACTAGGACTTGACTCTAAATACAGTAGGCAGTTTCAGATGTAACCAGTCAGGCATTTGTAACCTCCCCCTGCCATCCCTCTCCAAGTATTTGGTTAGGCTCTAGGCTTCTCCCATCATACAGAAAATCTTTTTTTGGTAGATTTTTTTTTTAACTTTTTGTTTGCCGCCCTCCCCCCTCAATGTTAAAAAAGATGTATTTCTGTGAAAATTCCATTATCATTCCTATTATTCTAAAAAAGTATACCC